CGTCTAGAAGTGGCTAGTCATCAGAAGAAAGTGAAGGGCATTTCAGCACGTTTACGAGATTTTAGAATCGAGAAACGTCAAGTTGGTATGATTTCTTCGAACTAAAATACTCATAAAAGGAAGGCATATCACAGTAGAGTTGAGCCGAATGAATAATTTAGAAAGCGATTAAAAGCTGTCGCTCACTTGTCACCTTTTAGAGTGTTTTAGTTTCAGTCACAGTATCAAAAAAGCTTCAACGAATATTCCATTTAGACTGCAATGACTTATAACGGCTGCAGCGCCTTCTCAAGCTGAATCATTACAAAACCGGGAAAAATCACATCCGGTTTCGTCGATAGAGACAAAAGAATTTTACATGTATTTAAAATTTTTGCGATTTTTTAGGAGTGCCAAGCGGTGCTAGTCATTATCGGCAAGTGAACTTGCGTTTATCTCAAATCTATCTGAGAATCAGCCAAAACAAGCGTATCAAAGATTTTCTTGTCAATTCACTTACCAATGTGCATGTAAGTTTACTTCGTGAGGTGCTGACACAAGAGCCGGAAGACCCGGGTCAGTTTTATTGAATACGTAGCAAGTAATCGCCCGAACTTACGCGTCATTGCAGCTAAGTAGTTTACTGCGCATCGTTCGACGACGACTGATCTGTGATCAAACACTGATCAAGTTGTTCAAGCAGTTAGCTGAGTCGGCGCCTCCGGATTATATGCTCTCGGATGCAGATCCTGTTGCAGCCAAAGCCATTGTTACGTTCAAAATTGCTTATCACAAGGTTAATTCCCGCTCTTCTTCCAATGAAAACAGGTGCTGCTCACAGCTTTCTTTCGATCTGGTGGTGATCTTGGGAATGTAAGAAGGAGAATGGAAAGGCAGGAAAAGGAGAAGGGGGAGGATGGGAACGGAAAGGAACTTCACGGGCTTCTTTGAAATTCGACTTTGATGCTTCCTGTTTTTCTAACCCTTTCCATCGTAAATACACAAAGGAATTTTATCAGACCGCGTCTACACGGAATTTTATCAATCGTAAAAACTCACTTGTATCTAAATGCTTTTTCGGAACTTCTCTTCATAACAGTGAAACAGTGTTATTTGTTAACTAACAATCTACAGCCAG